GAGGGTCGCTACTGCCCCGCTACTGGGTCGCTATGGGGTCGCTACGGGGTCGCTACTGGGTCGCTACGGGGTCGCTACGGGGTCGCTACGGGGTCGCTACGGGGTCGCTACGGGGTCGCTACGGGGTCGCTACGGGGTCGCTACGGGGTCGCTACGGGGTCGCTACGGGGTCGCTACGGGGCTCAGGAGTAACTAGTCCAGTTGCTAAGGGGGGGGGCCGTAACACGCCGTTTGGCTGCCATAGGGACTCATAGGCCAGCAGTTGCTTGGTTGTGTATGCAGCAGGCATGAAGGTGGGGTTTGCATGCAAAACGTCGGGTTGTATGTGGTGGAGCAGGTCACTGGATATGAAAGGAGGATCTTGAATCTGAACATTGACATCTTTTCTTCTATCTTAAGCTCAGGGCCTACTTTAGGTGCAGCACGTTGTGTTGCAGTCACGAGAGACAGGATGCAGATCATTCAACCTTGTGGGCCTGCTGGTGGCTGTAAGTAGATATTGGCGTTGAACTGCTTTTCAAACTGTGAAGCACAAGGATACCTTACGCCATGTAAGTAGTGCCATTCGTTTCATGCCTAAATTCACTGCAGCAGTAATGCTTTTGGAACAGCAGCCTGGATTTTCATCCAGTCAATTAGTGCCTTGCTAATAAGCGAGGTAATATGCATGATTGATGATGTTGCTTGAAACGTATGGTTTGCCAAATAATAGGCAAAAGGCAGGACATTTCGTTACAAACCGTTCAAGAATGTTTGTTCTAAACGAGGTTATCCATCAACACCGTGAGACAGAGCTAAAATACAGTCTGAAAACATCTGACAAGCCTTAACAACGGCTAACAGCACCAATTCCTGTTCTACTTCTCCAACATGGTTGTTAACAGCCAGATCCACCCGCCGCCAGCCCAAACATCGTCTGACAACCCCATCACTGTTAGAGAATCTGTTAGGCTAACATTTCCTAACAGGCACGCCTGTTAGCCGCTGTTAGACCCCCTATGAGTTGGTAGGTTATATAAGTGCAGCTAAGCCTAAGGGCTTTGTTTACTGCCGCGCCTGAATGCATATCAAATCACTGCAAGTGGCTGTAACAAAGGTAATTCAAGTGCACTCCAGAATCCCGGCAGGGATGCTGTATAGTACATTGTGCACATTTTTATAGAGGTAATATACTATGCAGCATTTCAGAAGGGATTCGGGAGTCCATATGGCATATAATTGTCACTTTTTAGAAAGGAACAAAACATGAACACATAGCCAGATATGACCATTGGGAACATGACTGAATTTACACATATGAGTGGCAATTCATGATCAGTCATGCTGCATAAGGAGCATGACAACTGTCATGACCATGACTCTGCCTCATGACCGGTAACATGACTGGTCATGAGGCGTCATGAGTGGTCATGAGGCAACATGACCAGATCTATGACAGGAAACCCCGGGGGCCCCTGCATGACCACATCCATGACCAAGTCGTTCCCCGAGTGATAATGCCTCGTATATAATCCAGATGCCTCGGCAAATGCCTATGGCACAAAGTGCCCGTTTCTCCCTCCACACACATGCATCACCCCTCCAACAACACCCACACCCACATCTTGATCTGCATATCTCCTCCTGCCACCTGCGAACTCGCCAGGGTCATCTTACAACTCCACACCCCACACTACAGCCAGCATTACCGCCAGGGGCACCAGGGCCACCACCCACACTGTATCTCACAGCAGTGAATCTTCACCAGCCTGCACTGTATCTTCACCAGCCTGCACTGTATCTTCACCAGCCTGCACTGTATCTTCACCAGCCTGCACAGATGGTGATGCACGTGTGTGGTAGCTGTTACAGCTGCAGCCCTGCTGCAGTGGCATAGGGACGCACTAGCAGAGAACACTCACTCACCGTGCCGCCACGGCGTAGAGTCTGTATTTGGATGACTTCTGGCGGGAGAACAATGGATCTCACATCCACCCAGCCACCCTTGGTGACCCAATCGGAGATGTTGTACTTATTTATGGACGTGTATGTTTCACCACTGTAGATTGGCCTCATGTACACGGAGCCTATCAGGACCTGGCTGGAATCTTTGGGATTGACCCGGGCTGCAAAGCAGTGGCATATCAGCCACTCTCCACATTTCATGGGGTCAGAACGCCAATTATTGCCTGAGGGTCAAGAGAGCAGTAGTCAAGGACTTGCAAAAGAGCTGCAGCACATTGCATATTGCCCCTGCTCACCTGGTTCGAGCAGCTGCATGTTAGCAACCTTTTTGACATGCTTGGTAATTTGCATGGCAATCAAGGACGATACTTGGGTACGAAATGCACTGTCAGTGCCTGGTGCGACAGCGGCCATCTCCGCAAGACTAGCCAGCGCATCCATCGAAACGCCGATAGGTTCTTGGAGCCCTTCGACACTGCTTGCTTTATCCATCACCGTCATGAAGATTCTGGCCCACTTCTCGGCTTCCGTGTCTGTTCCCAATTTGATGGCAAACGTGATATCTGTGTCATTCTGGATGGAGAGGTAAGAAGTCATCTGCAGTTGCAAGCAGGAGGCCAGGTGAGAGGCCATCACATTGCTGGCCACAATGCCCAGCGCTGCGGCCTGCTGCTTGATTAATGTACTCATAGCCACATTTCAATGTTGCTCTCCATACCTGAGCGCCAGGGAGCGTGCCAGTGGGTGATTCGCTGACGGCGAAGAAGTTGTAGTCGTAAATGGCCTAATATTTAATATACGATACGCCTCATATAGGCCTTTTCAAGGCAGCTGTTGATAAATCGTACAGATCTTGGGTATCGCAGGTATACCGCCCACCCGTCCGCCCGCCCGCCCGGCAGTCAGGGCGATACAGGGCGATGGATGACGTACAACAAAGGTCACACTTGGCAAGAGAATATAAGAGAAAAGTTCAGTATTCTTTAAATGAATAAAAGGGATAGAATGCTGTGGCGATAAGCCAAAACAATCAGTGATGGAAAATATAGGTGGCGCCGCGATGCTCACCCTAGAGGCCTCTGATCCACATAACGCCTTGAGGAATCGTAAGTCATGATTGGATGACGTCCCAGTAGCTTGGATACTTAGTCCATTGCTGGCACAGCAAGCTGACGTATAGATACTGTGCCAGCAACAGCAAGCTGACGTATAGATACATACATACATACATATATATACATATATATACGTATCTATACGTCAGCTTGCTGTGCCAGCAATGGACTAAGCGGGAAGCCCTTGACCCAATCTCTTGCCGTTTCGGACACTGGGACCATATGGCAGTCCGGAGACGTGTAACTCGTCAGGCTCAGTAGCTACGGGGCAGTTGTCTGGACAGGTTACTCGCCAGCTAGAAGCTTGGTAAATGTGCAACCTTGAAAGTGTGATAATTAGGCACAGATATGACCGCTGACTGTGTCAAAAGTTATGATGAGGTTAGTTAAAATGTTTGCCAGTCATTAGCTCCTGCTACGAGTCTATTGCCATTTCTGTTACAGATATTGGCTGTGCTCTTACGGCCTGATCGATGAAAAGGCCGCACCGAACCAAAAGGAAAAGAAATAATGTAGTAGAGCGAAAAGGGCGGGCGACGCGGCCTCCAGGGTGGGAGGGCGGGGCGCGTGCTGAACAACAAAAACAAGATACAGAAAACCTGCAACACGCGCTATTTATGCAAAAGACGATCCTGAGGACACGGATCGCCGGCCTCAAGTCGTACCACTTAAAACGGCCGTAAGGCCCTACGCCTTAGCTAACCCGGCTCAAGCTTCGCATAGCCCGCATTAGCTCCTGCTACGAGTCTATTGCCAAAAGGAAAGACACCCCCTCTCAGCGGTTAAAGTACTGACCCATCACCGGCGCGACACGCCGGGCCGCGAGAGGGCCAAAGAAGGCGACCGCACGAGGGCAGCCACGGACCCCCAAATCGAGGTAGTTCTCCCGCAACGCCGACGAGCCTGCGGCCCAGCCACCAAATGCTTCGATGATATCCAGTGGCACTCCCGCCGCACGGGCGGCCGAGGCACCACCCCGCCGCAAACTATAAAGGGTGTGGACGGAACGAAGGCCCTCCAGGCCACACTGCGCCAAAACACGATCGAACCAACGCTCGGCCCCCTGAGTCGTCTGGCGCTCCGGCCATAAACGCGCAG